GTGTGCTGTGGTGTGTGATGTGTGTGTGGTGTGTGTGTGTGTGTGTGTGTGTGTGTGTGTGTGTGTGTGTGTGTGTGTGTGTGTGTGTGTGCGAACCTGAGCTCTGACGGTGTTCGGCGGAGCTCTGCTGAATCCCGCCCCTCCCCCGCTCGCGCGTGCGCTCCGCCGCCTTGACCCCGCGGTCTGCGGGGGCTTGCGTTTCGGCTTCGGATTTTGCTCGGCCCCCACCTCAAGCAGTGGCAAAGCGTCCTGGCGTGCTTATAGTCCTACCAAACAATGTTCTAAGAACCTTTTGTGGTTCCCACGAAATGTTCTTAGGACATTTCTGGTGAGGACTCTCTTGTTTTATCACATCGGGCTTATGTTCTAAGAACTATCTTCTTGGTCTTAGAACAGTTTTGGGTTCTAAGAACATTTCGTGGTAGGACTATAGGAATGCCGGGACGGTCGGTCCCTGCTCAACCACCGCCCCCCCCCCCAGCGCGGCGGCTGGCCCTGGGCCCCCCGCGCCGATCCCGCGGTTTGCTGGGGTTTGTGTTTGGGCGGCGTTCGGAGGCTTGCTGGCGGGGGCGGCGGCGGCGGCGGCGGCGGCGACGGTGGCCGCGGGGGCGACGGCCGCGCGGGCGACGAATTTTTGGAGGGGGGGATCGGCGTGGACCTGAGGGGGGGGGCGACGGGGATGACCAGGAACACCAGGACAAGCGGCGGGGGAGAGGGGAGAGGGGGTGGCCGCCGGGGCCAGCGGGAGGGGAGGGGGCGGAGGGGGACGATCGGGAGAGGCCGAAGAGGGGGGGGGGGGGGTGGGAAGGGGGGCAGCGAAGCTTGGGGGCGGCGACGGACGGGCGGGGCGTGGGTGCGGGTGGGGGGGGGGGGGACGCCGACGGCGGGGGGGAGGGGGGGTCGGCGGCTGCAGGGGCGACGGCGGCGGGGGGGGGGGGCATGGAGGGGAGGGGGGAGGAGGAGGAGGAGGAGAGGAGGAGGAGGAGGGAGGAGGAGGAGGAGGAGGAGGAGGAGGAGGAGGAGGGGAGGAGGAGGAGGAGGGGGGGGGCGACGGCGGACGCGGGAGCGGTTTTTTTTGGCGTGGCAGGTGGTGGAGTTCGTGAGGTGAGGGGCAGAGGGAGGGACCGCGGAAAGGCATTGGGAAGCACAACGTAGGGGGAGCAAGGACGAGCGGGGGCGAACGGCGATAGGCGGCAGTGGGCGGCAATGGCCGTGAACAGATGGTAGTGCGGTGCCCAGATGACGTCGCAGGGCTCAATAGCTGTGGCACGTAAACGCACGTTTTTCCTCCGACGCGCTGGCGGGGTCCACGCGCGAACAGCTGCAAGAGAAGGATCCACGTTTGTGGAGGCGCGCGGGGGCAGTGGCCGAAACCAAACGGCACCCTTGCAGCAGAATGCCCTCAACAGCTCGACACGGTTTCGCCGAGGGCCACGACGGGGGGGTCACCGTGGCGGGTCACCGTGGCGGGGCACCACGGGGGGCCGCGATGAGGCGAGGGGCAAGGGGTCGGAATGTTAGGGTGTGGGGCATAAGGGGTGTAGGGATAGAGACCAGGATGCGGATAGGGATGTGATGGGGATAGGAATAGAGATGGGGATGGGGATAGGAATAGAATGGGATAGAATATTCTTGTGCGTCTGTAATCGCAGAAACGTCCCTCGACCCAGGCACAGGCCCCCGGGGTCGCTATGAGCTCGACGCAGTGTCATGGCAGGAACCACGCACATTTTCCTTTCACGCGCCCGGTAGGGCCAGCGGCAGTCCGAAAGAAAGAAAGATGGGGACAGGGATATGGATAGGAATACCCATATGACCGCCCTGCGGGCGATGAGGAGGTTGGAGGGGGATTGAGATCAAATGCCCACCCTGACTGATCTCCAGCCTGTCGAACAAATTAATTGATGGATTGGGTTGGATGGATTGGGTTGGGTGGGGTAAGATAAGATGGGACAATATTGGTTGGATAAGATCAGATGGATTGGCTTTGGACAATATGGATTGGATAAGATAAGCTGGATTGGATAAGAGAGCCCGCCGCAGCCTCGGAAAGATATGAATTATGAAATTAGCGACATGCGTTAGCGCCGGGACGCCCGGGACATCCGGGACACCGCCCAACTGGGACACCTCCCGGCCACCGGCGGACGGGAAACGGACTTTCGCTCCTACTGACACCTGGGACACCCGGGACACCGCCTGGCCCAACAGGGACACTTCCCGGCCACCGGCTGACGGAAACGGACTTTCGCTCCTTATTCGGCCTAGCTACAGGAGGATCACGCGCAGCTTCGCCTCGCCCGCACGCACGACACGAACACGAATCCGAAACCGATTTCCCGGTGGGGGGTCTCCGTTTCACTGCGATCTCACCCCCCAACCTCCGATAGGATAGGGATATAGGATAAGGATATAGCGTAGGGATCGGAATAAAGCTGATCGGGAAATCGACAAGGTTAGGGATAGAGGAAGAGGGATCCGGATAGGGATCGGGTTCGGGATGCAGCTGGGGACTTGGATAGACACTGCGAGGCGACGGGAGACGGCGGGAGACGACGTCGCCCGATCGATCCCAGATCCAGCAGCGCGCCTACCAGTTTCTTGGAACATGCATTTAGAGCCTTTGCCCATTGGTCGTTGCAAGTAGGTATTTCTGGACTACCAGATCCCAATCCTACTTTCAGCGCCTTCCTGTTTAAAAGGATCAAATGGCTTCACCTCTTCCGCCCTCCTTCGGGGGCGGACGGAACCCAATCTGCTGTCAACGCCTTCCTGCTTCATGTTTCTACCTGCGTACCTCTTCCGACCGACGGGTACCGACAAGCTGGGCAGGGAAAAGCGCACACAAACACACACACACACACAAAAACACACACACACACACAAAAACACACACACACACGCACACACGCACACACACACACACACACGCACACACACACACACGCACACACGCACACGCCAGGCGCCGCCTCGGCGCGCGGCGGCGGACGAGGTAGCCGCAAACCCTACGAGGCTCACGGAGCACAGCCGGAACGACAACACCACGGGGGTCGACGAAGTTCCCCGCCACAGGAATACCTACACAGCGGCGCCTTCCCCCCTCCTCCCCCTCCTCCTCCCCCTCCCTCTCCTCTCTTTCTTTCCTCTCCTCTCTCTCCTCTCCCTCCCTCCCCTCCCCTCCCCTCCCCTCCCCTCCCCTCCCCTCCCTCCTCCTCCTCCTGCTCCTCCTCCTCCTCCTCCTCCTCTTCCTCCTCCTCTTCCTCCTCCTCCTCATCCTCGCCCTCGTCCTCCTCCTCCTCCTCCTCCTGGATCTCTCCTGGGTTTCGGGGGAGGGTGGCAGTATGTAGACCACCTCTGCGGGCCAACAGTTCTATACCAAGGCCACCCTCGGTGAACGCACAGGATGGAGTCATCCGCAGGCGTCTGTGTATGTGCCTGTGTGGCGAAGGTTTTGGACGCCGCGACGGTGGTGGCGAACGAGACGAACACGACGTATTCTGGGCCCAGCAACCTGGGGAACTGCATCATCAACAGCATCATGGCCACTGTCACCGCGGCCAACGCCGCCATCGGGATCCGGGACGCGGTGAAGTTCTGCCGGAGGGAGGGTGCCCCGCCCGGCCTGTGCGCCTCCGCCATCACGGGCGCGACCACCTCCTTCATCTGGCTGGGCAGCTTCCTCTCGGGCGCCGTGCACACCTGCATGGGCACGCCCGATCTCGGCGCCGACTGCGCCGAGGACGTGATGGCGGTGGTGGGCAGCCTTGGCACCACCGTGCTGGCAGCGGCTCAGCTCTCGTACACGTGCCCGCCGATGTCCAAGAACATCTCTTTCAACGGGTACGACCCGAACAAGACTGACACGTTCGCGTGCGTGATCGATTCCATCTTCGCTGCCAACACGCTGGCGAACGCCATCCAGGGAATCTTGAACGCCATCAAGGACTGCTCGAACGATCCTATCCGCCCCGACGGACTCTCCCCCAGCGGAATCACCATCGCGAGCCCGCACCTTTGCGCGGCGGACGCCGTGGGTGTGGCCGCGTCGTTCCAGTTCATGGGCAGCTTTACGGCGCAGGCGGTCGACAACTGCGCCCCGAAGTTCAACACGGACGCGCTCTGCGCAGCGGACATCATCGAGGTCATGGCGGCTCTGACGGCCATGGCCGGCAGGGCCCTGCGCATGGCCGACGATTGCAACCCGCGGAACCTGAACGAGTCCCGGTTCAACCCTTCGGCGGCCACGCAGCCGAGCGGGCGGGTCAACCGATGATGGCGGCGACCTGCTTTCCAAACGAGCGCGTCCAGAGTCAGGCCATCTATTTCGGACGGGCAGGCGGTCTTGAGACGCAGTCCAGGCCGCCGCCAATGTTTACCAAGTTTAATACTTCGGGGATGTTTGTTTTTTTGTATGCGAATTGTGTCGTTGGTTTGTGAGTCAGCTATTCGGTATTGACGGCCCACACGGCGAACCACCGTCGCCCCCTGCTTTTTGGAAGCGCCTGTGTGGCCAAACGTTGAGGCAAAGTCTGGGAGGCCCTCTCTGTGCCGTCTTGCGCCCTCTTGGGGCGTTTCGAAGCCATCTTATAAGGCCGTCGTGAGGGTCTCTTGGGCCGTCTTGGGGCCCTCTTGGCTCGTCTTGGGTCCTCCTGGAGACTTCTGAGCCATCCTCGGTCGGAACAGACGGGGACATAGAGTCTTGCGGTTTTCAAGCGACAGTGTTGGACCGTCTTGGGCCGTCCTGGAGGCCATCTTCGAGGTCATCTTGGAGGCCATCTTGCGCGTCTTTGAGGCGGGTAAAGCAAAGCGCCTTTACGGTTGGTCGGGGGTGCAGAGGGGGCCCATGCACAGAAACACCCTGCTTGCCTCCAGGGTGCCCTGGGCTTCTTGGGTTCCAATGGTTTCAGGATGGGAAGCGTGACGTTCCCACACCAAAAATCAAGGGTCGCCCTGGGGTCTCAGGGTTGGGTTTCTTGTGGAGGGTTTCTTGTGGTTGGGACGCTGCTGTATCCAGGGTGGCCGACGACTTGAGCCGGAGGCCGCTGAAAATTCTGGAACGGCCAACAAGTGGTTCGACTCCACATAAGAGTGACCCTTCGCCGGAGTGACCTTCGGTGCGGGCCCACTGGGGTCCCCCGATCGCCGAACGCGATGCGGCAGTAGCGTCTTGCGCGCTTGTGCTTGGCCCCCCCGCGGCCCCCAAAAAGCCGCGCACCAAGGGAGGAGGAAGGAGGGGGGAAGAGGGAGGAGGAGGAGGAGGAGGAGGACGAGGAGGAGGAGGAGGACGAGGAGGACGAGGAGGACGAGGAGGACGAGGAGGCCTCGGCACGCTCAGCGCCCCTTTCGAAGCCAACAGGGGGCGGCGGATCGAGGACGCCTGCGGCGAACCACCGCCGCCCCCTGCCTTTTTGGAAGCGCCTGTGTGGCCGAACGTTGAGGCCAGACCTGCCAAGCTATCGGACCATGTGTTCCCCGAATCGGTTTGGCAAGCCTTCGGGGAACACGTGGGCATCTTGAAGGTCCTCTTGGCAGTCGGGAGGCCGTTTTGACCGTTTCGCGCCTTCTTGGAGGACGTCTTGGAGGGCTCTTGGACTGTCTTCGAGGCCATCTTGAGCGTCTTGGAGGCCTCTTGGGCCGTCTTGGTGGCCTCTTGGGGCCGTCTTGGGCTTCTTGGGCGGTCTTTGGGGGCACTTGGGCCGTCTCGGGCCGTCGGAAGGCAGAAAAAAGAGCAAACGCCACAATCCTTCAAAAACTTATAGGAAGTCAAGGGTGTCGGCCTTTTCGGCCCTTCCTGGAGGCCCTCTTGGAGGCCTCTTGGGCCGTCTTGGGCCATCGTAGGACCATCTTCGGCCGTCTTGGTGGGCTCCTGGCCCGTCTGACGCCGTCGGTTGCTGTTTTGGGTCCTCTTTGGGCCGACTTGGGGCCCTCTTGGGATTATCAGGGCCGTCTTGGAGGCCTCTTGGGCGTCTCAAAGGCATCCTGGGCCGTCTTGGGGGCCTCTTGGGGCCGTCTTGGGGGCCTCTTGGGCCGTTTTGGGGCCATCTTGGAGGCCTCTCGGGCGATCTTTGGGCGATCTTTGGGGGCTCTTGGGCAGTCTCGGTCCGTCGGAAGGCAGAAAAAAAGCAAATGTCAAAATTCTTCAAACACATCAGGACAATCAGTGTTTTTGGCCTTTTCTGGCTTTCCTGAAGGTCCTCTTGGAGGCCTCTTGGGCCGTCTTGGGTCAGCTTCGAGCCAACTTCGACCATCTTGGTGGGTTCCCGGCTCGTCTGACGCCGTCGGGAGCCGTCTTGGGGGCCTCTCTGAACCGACTTGGGGTCCTCTTGGGGCGCTTCGGGGCCGTCTTGGAGGCCATCTTGGGCGTCTTGGAGGTCTCTTGGGCCGTCTTGGGGCCCTCTAGGGGCCGTCTTGGGGGCTTTTTGGGCCGTCATGGGGCCCTATTGGAGGCCTCGTAGGCGATCTTGGGGCGACCTTGGGGGCCTCTTGGGCCGTCTTGGGCCGTCGGAAAGCCGAAAAGGCGCAAATACCAAAATCCTTCAAAAACCTTTCTGGAAAATCAATGATATTGGCCTCTTCGGGCCTTCCTGGAGGACCTCTTGGAGGCCTCTTGGGCCGTCTTGGAGGCCTCTTGGGAGCCTCTTGGGCCGTTTTGGGCCATCTTGAGGCCATCTTAGGCCGTCTTGGGTGCATCTTGGGCCGTCTTGGAGGCATCTTGGGGCCATCTTAGCCGTCTTGGAGGCCATCTTGGCCGTCTTGGAGGCATCTTGGAGGCCATCTTGGGCCATCTTGGAGCCGTCTGGAACGGAAAAGCCCGTTGCAACCACCTCTGGGCAATCTTTCGGCATCCTTTCAGGTGGCCGGCGGGACGGGCCGAAGTCCCAGGGGGAGTTCTTTTGGAAAAAAAACAAAAGCAAAACCGAGAGGGTCTAGCACGCCAGGCACCCCTGCGATGAATCGCCAGGGGGCGGCGGATCAAAGACGCCTCCGGCGAATCACCGCCGCCCCCTGCCTTTTTGGAAGCGCCTATGTGGCCGAACGTTGAGGCCAGACCTGCCAAGCTATCGGACCATGTGTTCCCCGAATCGGTTTGGCAAGCCTTCGGGGAACACGTGGGCATCTTTAAGGTCATCTTGGCCGGCTGGAGACCATTCTGACCCTTTCGGGCCTTCTTGGAGGACGTCTTGGAGGGCTCTTGGGCCGTCTTGGAGGCCATCTTGAGCGTCTTGGAGACATCTTGGGCCGTCTTGGGGGCATCTTGGGGCCGTGTCTTGGGCCTCTTGGGCGATCTTTGGGGGCACTTGGGCCGTCTCGGGCCGTCGGAAGGCAGAAAACAAGCAAATGCCACAATCTTTCAAAAACCTTAGGAAAATCAATGATATTGGCCTCTTCGGGCCTTCCTGGATGCCCTCTTGGAGGCCTCTTGGGCCGTCTTGGGCCATCTTAGGGCCATGTTTGGCTGTCTTGGTGGGCTCCTGGCCCGTCTGACGCCGTCGGGAGCCCTTCGGGGGGCCTCTACGGGCCGACTTGGGGCCCTCTTGGAATGCTCCAGCCATCTTGGGCGTCTTGAAGGCCTCCTGGGCTGTCTTAGGGGGCCTCTTGGGGCCGTCTTGGGGCCCTCTTGTGCCGTTCTGGGGCCATCTTGGAGGCCTCTTGGGCGATCTTTCGGCGATCTTTGGGGGCTCTTGGGCCGTCTCGGGCCCTCGGAAGGCCGAAAAGAAGCAAATTCAAAATCTGTCAACAACCTCAGGAAAATCAATGCTTTTGGCCTTTTCTGGCCTTCCTGGAGGCCCTCTTGGGGGCCTCTTGGGCCGTCTTGGGCCAGCTTCGAGCCAACTCCGGCCATCTTGGTGGGTTCCTGGCACGTCTGACGCCGTCGGGAGCCGTCTTGGGGGCCTTTCTGGGCGGACTTGGAGCCCTCTTGGGGCGCTTCGGGGCCATCTTGGAGGCCATCTTGGGCGTCTTGGAGGCCATCTTGGGCGTGTTGGAGGCCTCTTTGGCAGTCTTGTGGCCTCTTGGGGCCGTCTTGGAGGCCACCAGGGCCGTCATGGGGCCCTCTTGGGGACGTTTTGGGGCTATCTTGGGGGCCTCTTGGGCCGTCTTGAGCCGTCGGAATGCCGAGAGTAAGCAAATGCCAGAATCCTTCAAAAACCTTAGGAAAGTCAATGATTTTGGCCTCGTGGGGCCCTCCTGGAGGACCTCTTGGAGGCCTCTTGGGTCGTCTTGGGCCGTCTTGTAGGCTTCTTGGGCGACCTTGGAGGTATCTTGGACTCTGTTGGGCCGTCTTGGAGGCCGTCTTGGACCGTCATGGGCGGACTTGGAGGCCATCTTGGACCACCTTGGAGGCCATCTTGGGCCGACGTGGCCATCTTGGAGGCCATCTTGAACCATCTTGGAAGATTTGTTGCGTGATTGAGCTCCTTGAGATCCTTTCCGGGTGGCCGGCGGGACGGGCCGAAGCCCCAGGGGGAGTTCTGATGGAAAAAGAACCAAAACCAAAAGCGATATCGTTCGGCACGCCAGGCACTCCAGATTTTGTAATAAAGGGAGGGGGGTCTCATTTCGGGGGGGGTCTCTTCCAGGCTATCTTGGAGGGCCTGGGGGGTCTGGGGACGATGTTTTGGAGGGTTCTCCCACGGGGGAGGTCTGAAGTGGCTTGTCTTGGAGGATCCAGACCCCCTCCCTTTTATTACGAAATCTGGAGCACCATTTTGATACATCAAAAGGGGGCGGCGGATCCAGCTGCTTTCGGCCCAGCCTGCCACCGTGCCCGGGTTCGGGGGTCAGTGGCCTCGTGGGTGCCTCTTTGGGGGGGGCCTCTCCGGGGGCCTCTTGCAGACTCCTTGGGGGCCTCCACGGGCCTCTGGGGAGCGTCTTCGGGGCGTCTGAGGGGCCTGCCCGCGGTCCCGGGGACGACGGTACTGGGGCGGGGACCTCTTGGGCCATCTTGGACGCTCTGTCGTCTCAGATGGCGAACTTGCGAAACGCATACGAACGCTTGAGGTTCCCCAGACAGTGCTTGCACTTGGCGGCGCGTACTTCTGTTCTGAGGAACTGTGCCGTGCCTTCGGTCTGGCGGCTACGTGGCCACCGTCGCCGCCTCGTCGCCGCCCGTCGTCTGGGCCGTGTCTTCGGTCTGGCGGCTATGTGGCCGCCGTCGCCGCCTCGTCGCCGCCCGCAGAGATGGTACCACATAGATTGCTCCGCACATATTGCACCGCGCAGATTGCACAACCTTGGTTGCACAACATTGATTCTCCTTTCTAAAAGACTAATAGATTCTACCCCCCCCCCGGACTTATCGGTTCCCCCGCGCGTGCTGTAAATTTCATATGATTCTGACCACATGTCCATCCGAATTATGAATTCATACCATCCCAGCCAAGCCGGGTTCCCCCCCCTGCGGTTCCCTTGTAAAAAACATTATGCGGTGACATTTTTTGTTCCAACATAACACTTTT